GGAGGACGAGGAGGAGAGATGGAGGACGAGGAAGGGGAGGAGGAGGAGGACCAGTGGGAGGAGAGGAGAAGGAGGAGGAGGAGGCAGTGAGGACGATGAAGGGGAGGTCGAGGTACTCACCGGGGCGATGGCAGCAGCTCCTCGGCAGCAGCAACACGGCAGCGAGGCAGCACGGCAGCACGGCAGACCTCCTCTGAGTGCAAGGCGCTTGAGAACGGCGGTGGTAGCTCCTCGAAATGGCCGCGTTAGATGACAACCCTACAGAGGCCCAGCCAAGCCCACAAACAGTGGAAAGTCCACGAAACAGCAGGTTTCAAAAATTCAAAACCTGGCGGTCCGGCCTTGAGCGGGGTGGGAAAAAAAGTTTTTTTGGCCGTCGCAACATTTTTGGCAGAGGGCCTCCGATGTGCCGTTTCGACCCCCGCCTTTTTTTTTTTTTTTGGGGGGGGGGGGGGTTCGGGCCGTGCGCCAGACAGTCGTGCGGCGTACGATACGGTCCGGCCCGTGCGCCAGACGTTTGGAATGTCGCGTACGACGTACGCTTGCAAGTATGGTATTTTTCCATATTCTAGCAGTAGATGCATCCGTCTTTGCCTTACCCCCAGTAGCAACCCGTTCGTCAGAACGAACGGGTGCCCCAAGAAGAAAAGACAAGAACGAAATCTAGAAATGGAGAAAATCTACGAAAATAAAAAAAAGAAAAACATAAAAAACAGAAAACCAACTTACCCGACTGCAGAAAACGATCGCCCGTTTTCACGGGCGATTGTCAAGTGCACTGGGGCCAAAGCCCCTGTCACTTCTTACTACGCCAAGTGGCGCGCCACCTGTGGTTATAGATTTGTCCCTTTTTTTTTTTTTTTCACTTTTGCTTTTGACGCGGCAGAACAGATCCCCACGCGGCTGATTCTGACCGTGCGATCTCCTCGATCTTGCTGTCATAATCGACCGCATCTGATAAGAAAGAAACGGGCTGCTCCAAAAGGGGCCAGCCCAAGGTCAGTTCAGATTCGATCCCCAGACCACCAGGGTGACAGTCTCAAACGTAAACCTATTGGGCTGGCTCCTACTACTAGAATAATAAGAGCACAAATCCCATATAAAGAGTATGGGGCTCAGCCCCTCCTTACTACTAGCAGCTCAGCAGGCCGTCGCCGCTCGCCTGTCGGCTGGCTGGCTGGCCGGCTGGCTAGCAGCTGGCTGGCTGCTGGCTGGCCCCTACACACTCCGCACTCCACGGCCACTGCACCACCCTTTCTATCATTCGGCGCGGACGGTCGTGGCCCCCATCCTCTCTTTTCTTTTCCTCTGTTGCTTTTTGTCAGCCTCGTTTCCCCCCCTTCTTTTTTTTTTTTTTTTTTTTTTTTTGCACTCCCGTCGGCCTGGGCCAGGGGTCACATCGCGAGACACCCCCAACTGGTGAAATGTAGGCCCGAGTTCGATCCCCTTGGGGATCAAAAAAATTAATTTGGGCCATTTCTCGATTTATGCGTGTCATTCTTGCGCAGGGGCCATGCTAATCTCGGCGCGCTAGATCTGGGTCGAGCGATTTCCACGATCGTACGCCCGGATTTAGCCGCGCCGTCAGCAATGGCAATGGCCAGCTCCAAAGGGAGCTAGCCTGGTAGGCGCGTGCGGCCGGGTTCAATTTCAGTATCTGTCGGGTAGTAGTCTGGTGGTGTAACCTATTGCGCTAGCTCCTATCACGCCAGTGATAGGAGCCACTCTTCTATAAGAAGAGTTGGCCCAGTCGCTAACCCCATGCCGTGGCCTTGCAGGCTCCTCCTGCCTCAGGCCCAGCCTACCTACGGCCCCACAGGCCTCGCCTGCTTGTGACCCCACATGCTTAACTGGCCGCGTGGCCTTTACGTTGGCTTATAAATCCCCTGGCCCGGTGTCAACCCCCGCGGCCAGGAAATAAGACCCTTCTTCCTACTACCCCCATGCCGCGGTTGTATACCCGGCGAATGTAGGTCCTGAATCGCGCGGCTGTTATTTCAGGTAGACTAGGTCTAACTTTAGCGTTCCCATGTCTACACATTCCTCTGCGGTCTCAATAAGGCAAGCACGTCTTGTTACTGCCAGTACTCTCGGATGCTGCAGACGTCCGGACTAGGGTTCTAAAAAGTTTTTGTTTTTCGGTCATAGGTCAGGTTTGAATGAACTTTTGGCAGATAACCCATCTCATCAAGTTATGAAGCCCGAATAACCCTTTACTAAGTCGGACATCGTCTGACATTTAAAAACACCGGGCAGATACCCTTGTCAGGGTTTCGGCCCCGACAGCATTCCCGGACCCCATTGAACGACGTCCCCGTCGTTCACCTTCAAAATAGAGGTCAGGATTTTATAAAATGATTCCAATACACAACAATTTCATAATCCACTTAGAACTAAGTCGAAGCCTTCTTCCATAGACTACCACTCAGGAAATTTTGGTCTCTTAGAATGGTACCTGAAGCCCCCTGACTAGTTCCAAGGTACACCCATTCAGTTGATACCATCCTTTATCCAAAAAAAGCAGGATTAACCCCCTGATAGGTCTTTCAAGTCAGGATTAACCCCCTCACGGGTCTTTCGAATGTATCAACGTCATGGAGTCGTTCAGACAAAGTCTGAATAATCAAATATATATATACATATATATTCATACCTATTACTCAATATCATACATTAGCTACGTAATAAGTCATGTCGCAAAGCTTTTCTTTCATATAAATCCTTGAAGAGCGCACTTATCAAGACAGGTCTCTCTGTCGCAGGCATACTCTTACAAGGGACAAAGGAGACCATCCATCAAGACAGATTTTACTGCCGCAAACGAACTCCTTTATTTTAGAAGAGAACACTAATCTAGACGGTTATCCCGCCGCTGATGAACTCTTATTTCGTTCAGGAGAAAATGTCGATCAAGACAGGTTTCCCTGCCGCAGACAAATTTCTCTCTACCTCAAGTTGAGAACAAAATGCTGATCAAGACAGGTTTCTCTGCCGCAGACGAATTGCTCTCTATTAATCTTTGAAATGAAATCTGATCAAGATAGATTTCTATGCCGCAGATACACCCTTCAAAGATCAGAGAAGAACTCTGATCAAGACAGGTTGCCCTGCCGCAGATGAACTCCGTTATTCTTCATTCAATGACTAAAATGAAGGAGAACGCAGTTTATGAAAGATTATCCTGCCACAAACGAGTTCCCTTATTAATCCGAGCTGCAACATGAAATTATTATAGTGAACTTACTATAGTTTATATCATGTCAGATATTATCGATTTTCCTGTGATATGCGCCGAGGAGTGGTGTAATCCTCTTTAAGGGATAACATCTCGACATCAAGCCCCGCTTTAGATTCGAGCCTCACCACATTCCCTCCAATTTCAGTGTCTTTGACCTCATTAGTCCTCTGCATGTAGAGTAGAACTACCCCACCTCACATGACCGAGGCTGACTAGACCCAGATCATAGAGGTACGGTGACCATGCGTGACACGAGGTTAGGCAGCCACTTCTCCCCTCATGCCACCCAATAGTCGACTACCCTACAAGCATCATTCCAATAACATCTCAACACTTTCCTCCCTTTCAGCGATAGTGTAGTCTTCCTTCCTTAAACCACAAAGGATCCGGAAGGCAACATTTTACTATGAACCAGGAGCATAGCTCCGACGTAGGCCTCACTACCACCTACATAGCTCACAAATCCATCAGAATTTTATCGTGACATGATAACGCCCTCAAAACTTATTTCAAAAGTATTCAACAACAACAATACAACTTACAACAAAAGTTTCCACATGAAATTTCACAATAATCCAAGCTAAATAATCCTCGATAGTAGTTTAGATTTCTTCAATCATAGAAATGCACCACAAAAACAAGTAATCTCGATATAAATCAGAGTCCGGGTAAACTGATCGATCGAAATATACAACATTCGAATATAATAATATAATGCATGACAAAAACATGCGAAACAATACCGATAGGAGGTCAACGTTTGGTTGACAACTTTTCAAAGTAGATCCAATCGGTAACAATTTTTGCAAGAATTATAACTAAAAAAATACTTTCTAATTCATGATAAAACATGTATGACACATGAAAATGATAACGATAACTCAAATTTTAAAGATAATGTCCATGGATATCAAAACAATAACAGAATACAACTCAATCAAGACATTAAGAATTTAAACTCAACTAGATCGTTCAAAAATAACCCAAATAATTTTCAGAATAAAATCAATATACAACCCATAGAGATAAAATAATACGAAATGAACCAACGATGATATAATAATTAAATTTTAAAATTTAAAATAAGACCAATTGATCAATTACAAGATAAAATACCCGAGTGTCGTTCCGCTAGGGACAATGGTAGTTTGCCATTATCTCCGGCAACGGCGCCACTTGTCGAGCGCATCGACCCCCGCGTGAGCTAGGGCCCTCCCGGCTATGTCACGCAGGAGTAAAACTCAAACAAAATCAAGGACAACTTGGGAACGATGCATAATTAATCCCGCGAACCGCCGATACGGACGAGGTTGCATTTCCCCCTCGCCGCTCTAGCCGGGTGCGCCAGCTGTACATCCCGCGGTCCCCTCCGACAGGATATGTTATCGCGGGGCACATCTTACCTTCCCTAAGGGGCTGTCACCACCCTCAGGGGCGTATCCCTACCGAGCTACTGACCCACATGCGAAAACTTTTACATGCAATTGCAGAGGTGGGTCAGCTGAGGGCGTTTGCTCGCTCGCTGGAGTATAGGTACGCTTGGTTAGTGCCAAGTTGACCCGAACGTTGTCCGTTCCCTAGGACGCTGATCTCCTAGGTACGAACGACTGTCGGTCGACTAGGACGGTCTCAATCAAACGTGAAACCCACAATATTATCCTAATCCTTTTATAATTATCTGACCACAAGATAAATAAATAAAATCAATACACTTTATATCCAATCACACAAGACTTGATTTTGACTTGATGAGATGATCTGCCAAAGTTATCATTCCCGGCCTATATGACTGGCGATACTATTATTCCGCCGCTTCCAAGGTGGAGGCTCGATTTTGACAAAAAATTAGGAAGGACAGCCTAACCTTTAACTTACGGTTGGGTCTGTCGACACTTATTAAACCATGCCAGCAATGACTCCTCCAAGTACATTTCACTGCTACCATGCCGATCAACAATGGGAGTGAATGGTATCTGCAAAAAAATCCGCTTGTAAGTTGAAATTCTCATTTTCATATTTCTTTTTTCTAACGGCGCGCGCTTCCTGCGGCGCGGCCTACCGCGTAGGCAGTGCCTAAATGCACCCCACTTGCCCTTAGTTAAACTTGAACTGGGCTGTTTAAGGCTCCAGTTTTCCATTGGTAGGTGACTCCTAAAGCGGCCACCATTAGGGTACCCTAGCAGTCGCCCCCTGCGCGAGAATCAAGGGGTCTGATGTTTTCCCCACCTAAGATTACACGCCCAACCCCTACGAGGTGGTATAGGGTACCCCTTCTCCTCGCCCAGGCCTAAGCCTGGATCTCAGAAGTTGGGCTGGCTCCACCACGGCARCAAGGTACCCGCCCGCAGAAAGCGGTCCACTCCGAGTCGAATACAGGGTCGGCCCCTAAGGCAACGAMCCCCCGCCTCAGATTCCTCCTAGAGATAGGGAATGCGACCCCGGAAAGTAAACTACCTCCCCTTCGACCACCGGCGTCGAGGGTAACTTAGACGAAGGAAGAAGGACGCGAGGGAAGAAGTTCCATTTGGACGGGAATCAGACTCAGAGGGGGTCATTCGGGCGAGAAAGGTTTCCCTAAGGGAATAGTCTAAGTCCATCTGGGATTTTCTTCTTTCTTCGACGCCGCTTTCTTCTCGCGTTTTTTTTTTTTTTTTTTTTTTTCATGCAAATGGGCGAGGGCTTAGGAGATACAACCAGCAAACCATCATCTCCCTACTACCCTGCGCCCCGTCGCTCACACATACCTGCGTTCAAAAAGAACATCACATAAAATAGCACACGCACATATATTTTTTTTTTGTCAGTCTCCCCCAATTACATGTGCCAAACCCCTCCTCACTATCCTGTCATTTCCAAGAATATTCAGAGAAAGGGTCAAGCACAGTGTGGGTTTTGGGCACCAGTGAGGTAGGCTGAGTCCCTTGACCTTGAGTGTCTTGCTGGTCCACTCAAGAAAACCTTTTAGAATAATCACCAAACTGTCGACGTCCCGCGTGCGAAGCTCACGGCAACCCTCCTTTCAATTGCGTATACCACCTCCACTCCAGTTACTCCCTTAGTGTGCAGCCCTCAACTGTATCACTAAGGGAAGTATCCTCACTCGCTTCCTTCTTTACAGGCTGGTGGCTATAGCTTCCACTCCTCCTTCTTCTTCTTCAAATTTTACTACACTCCCTCCAACCTTCACCTTTCAAATCCAAACTCAAGTCTCTCCTCTCCTCTTCCAAATCTGACTTCAATCTCCCCCTCTTAGTAGGGACCTTCCCCTTCACCTTTGCTGCAGCCAGCCTCCACTTTTGCTGCAGCAGGCTATGACAGCCTCTTCTTCAACCTTGAGAATGACTGCAGTAGCAGTCTTCTCTCACCTTGAAAGAGGTAGCTATGGCTGCCTTCTCCCTCCTTAGAAACCTTACTTCTGGCTGCCCGGAGCACTTGGAGCACCTGGCTACGGCAGCCAGCAGCTCCCCTCCTTCACTTTTCTCTCTGCATCCCAACACCACTTCCCCCTTCACTACTTTGTCTTCCACCTCAGTGCTAGCTGGTTATGACAGTCTAGCACCTCCTCTCTTCCTAGTACTAGCTGGCTATAGTAGCCAGCAACACCTCACCTCTCTTCCACTCTCTCCCTCTCTCCTCCAACAGCAGTCTATCTCTCTCTCACTTAGCTGGCCTTACACTCCAGCAACCTCTCCTCTCTCTCTTTGCAGATGGCCAAACACTCAGGCAGAGTGTGGGCAGCACCTCAAAATGATGAGGTTGGTGCTGGCCAGCCCAGCTTTTAAAGCTGGCTGAGAGGCAAAGGCCCAACCGAAGCTCAGCTCAGGCTGCCTCCTTGAGCACAGCAGCTACAAATTCGTAGCTGTTGTGAGCCCTTGATCTGAAATTCAGATAAAGGGTCCCAAACCTTGATTTTCCCTTATTAAGACTAGGGGGATTCAAGTATAAATATACCTGGGTCTTTCCCCAGGTCCCATTCATGTAGGGAAGGTTGTACTCAGCCTCCCCTTGTTGTGCTACAACAGCACAGCAAGGCTCTGCCTTGCTGCACCTAGCTTGGCCCTCAACCAGGTTTGTGCTCTCCCCCTCTGAACTCACTTTCAATCTGAGTTCAGAGGCTGTGCCCGAATCTGGCTGCAGAGGAAGCCAGATTCAAAACAAAAAAAAAACGAGCTTACACAGCACAAAAAAAAGAATGCAAAAATTTTTTTTTTCCTCACTCACCTCGTTTGTCAGCAGCCACAACTGCTGAAAACCAGGTCCCGAGTTCAAATCGGGGGAAAACTGTGTTTCGTTCCCCAAGTTTTTTTTTCTTTTTGAAAGGGGCAGCTCGTTTTTCAAAACGAGTTGCCTCCTTCCACCACGTCTTTTCACCGTGTCGAACTAGTGTCAAGCTCATAGGGTCTTCCCCCACTTGCCCCAAGAGCCCGTACCCGGATGCAAACTGTGCCGGGTATAGGCGTCGTCTTGCAGCCTGTCCACAAAACGAACAGTCACGGGGTACACTACTGGAGTCTTACCTGTTGGTTGCCGCGCCGCCCTCTGGTGCTTCCATTCTTGGCCAGGTAAGCCCTCTGTTTCCCCCGTAGTAGTAGTAGCAGTTGTAGTAGTATTTTTCCATATTCTAGCAGTAGATGCATCCGTCTTTGCCTTACCCCCAGTAGCAACCCGTTCGTCAGAACGAACGGGCGCCCCAAGAAGAAAAGACAAGAACGAAATCTCGAAATGGAGAAAATGTACGAAAATAAAAAAAAGAAAAACATAAAAAACAGAAAACCAACTTACCTGACTGCAGAAAATGGTCGCCCGTTTTCACTGGGGCCAAAGCCCCTGTCACTTCTAACTATGCCAAGTGGCACTCCACCTGTAGTTATAGATTTGTCCCTTTTTTTTTTTTTTTTCACTGTTGCTTTTGCCGGGGCAGAACAGATCCCCGCGCGGCTGATTCTGACCGCGCGATCTCCTCGATCTTACGGTCATAATCGACCGCATCTGATATGGAAGAAACGGGCTGCTCCAAAAGGGGCAAGCCCAAGGTTAGTTCAAATTCGATCCCAAGACCACCAGGGTGACAGTCTCAGACGTAAACCTATTGGGTTGGCTCCTACTACAAAAATAATAAGAGCACAAATCCCGTATAAAGAGTATGGGGCTCAGCCCCTCCTTACTACTAGCAGCTCAGCAGGCCGTCGCCGCTCGCCTGTCGGCTGGCTGGCTGGCCGACTGGCTAGCAGCAGGCTGGCTGCTGGCTGGCCCCTACACACTCCGCACTCCACGACAACTGCACCACCCTTTCTATCCTTCGGCGCGGACGGCCGTGGCCCCCATCCTCTCTTTTCTTTTCCTCTGTTGCTTTTTGGCGGCCTCGTTTCCCCCCCTTTTTTTTTTTTTTTTTTTTTTTTTTTTCCCCCCCGCCGGCCTGGGCCAGCGGTCACATCGCGAGACACCCCCAACTGGTGAAATGCAGGCCCGAGTTCGATCCCCTTGGGGATCAAAAAAATTAATTTGGGCCATTTCTCGATTTATGCATGTCATCCTTGCACAGGGGCCATGCTAATCTCGGCGCGCTAGATCTTGGTCGCGCGATTTCCACGATCGTACGCCCGGATCTAGCCGTGCCGTCAGCAATGGCAATGGCCAGCTCCAAAGGGAGCTAGCCTGGTAGGCGTGTGTGGACGGGTTCGATTTCAGTATCTGTCGGGTAGTAGTCTGGTGGTGTAACCTATTGGGCGAGCTCCTATCACGCCAGTGATAGGAGCCACTCTTCTATAAGAAGAGTTGGCCTAGTCGCTAACCCCATGCCGTGGCCTTGCAGGCTCCTCCTGCCTCAGGCCCAGCCTACCTGCGGCCCCACAGGCCTCGCCTGCTTGTGACCCCACATGCTTGACTGGCCGCGTGGCCTTTACGTCGGCTTATAAATCCCCTGGCCCGGTGTCAACCCCCGCGGCCGGGAAATAAGACCCTTCTCCCTACTACCCCCATGCCGTGGTTGTATACCCGGCGAACGTAGGTCCTGAATCGCGCGGCTGTTATTTCAGGTAGACTAGGTCTAACTTTAGCGTTCCCATGTCTACACATTCCTCTGCGGTCTCAACAAGGCAAGCACGTCTTGTTACTGCCACTACTCTCGGATGCTGCAGACGTCCGGATAAGGGTTCTAAAAAGTTTTTGTTTTTCGGTCATAGGTTAGGTTTGAATGAACTTTTGGCAGATAACCCATCTCATCAAGTTATGAAGCCCGAATAACCCTTTACTAAGTCGGACATCGTCTGACATTTAAAAACACCGACCAGATACCCTTATCAGGGTTTCGGCCCCGACAATGGAGGGGCCGTATGGTCTTCCTAACACCCGCGGTTTGAGGTCTGGGAGTGGCCAGGACATCACGCACACTGTTCTCATGAACCCGGGTTCTGCCAGCAACCACACAACGCTTTCAGTGGGGCCGTGTGGCCTTCCTGACACCCGTGGCCGGGGTTCTGGTTAGTCGGGCGACGAACGTGGACTCGTTTCGCGAGGGCTGATGGTAGTGGGCACAGCAGGTGTTCGCGCGGAGGGGACGAGGATAGGTGGATCGACAACGGCAGGCGGCGCTGTCCACCGAGGAGGGGATGACGCTGACGGCTACACTGCGGAGGTCGCGGGGCGAGAGGTTTCGTGTCAATGTAGCACGTCCCCCGAACACAATGCACCCCCATAATGCAACCCCCGACCTACGCTGCGGAGGTCGCGGGGCGAGAGGTTTGGGCAAGTTAATTGGGTCGGCGGACTGATCCGCCGAAATATGCGTAGACGGCAGGACCAGTCGGTGTGTAGTGCGGAACGATTGAAGTGTCGATAGTCATACAAAGGGGGGAATCGTCGCCTATGCGATTGATTTTATGTAATATGAACTCAGTGAAATGTGTGTTGCTTTTTCCATGTCTTGTGTTTGCATGCAAAAGATTGCGCACGGAGTCATGTCGTCGTTGTCTTCTTTGTGGTTTTATCACATGATGCACGCGTGAATGTCCATCGCATTGTCGTCCGCATGTTCTTGTGTATGAGGCCGTGTTTTTTCCATTTCAACTGTCGCGGCATCATTGTCGTCGCCGTGAACTTAAAAAAAAAAAAAAAAAAAATGATTGTGTCTTCGTTGCACGGTTGCATGATGA